TTTCTCCTGAAAACAGCTAAAATCGTGTAAGGCACTGCATAACGCACAGCCGTGGCAAAAAACTTTCAAGGACAGATACCTCGTACTGTCAAGAGTACTTTCTCGGCATTATTCGATAAGCCAAGCCAACTGGGTAGTTGTAGGTATTGAATATTTTCCACCCAATGGATGAGATGTTCACGTGAATTGCCATCCGGGATACACAGGTCTGTTCCTTTACCATCAACGTTGTTTATCAGCACCTGGTCACTGTCAAACGATTTTGCCGTGAACAATCTGTCAAGGAAGCAGTCCAGCAGTTTCTGCAAATACACTCTTTAACTTTATTAATTGTCAAAAATAAAATCATATATAATTGAAACGATAGTTTAATAAATCCATTAGGCAACTAACTGTAATCCTAAGTACTCGACCTACTTCGCTTCACTCACTAATTCTTAACACTTCTACTATATTCTCAATAATTCCACTTTACCTATCGCCCTCACTTACTAACTCTCTTTCTCCTCCCTTTTCCTCCCATCAATTTAGGGTTTTGGAGAAAATATGAGCAAAAGATGAAAGGGTTGTAAAGAATTATTAAAGCTGGATTAAATTTATCCTTTATAAACCTCATCCGAAAACCCTGGGGGTCGGAGTCTTGAACTCAACGCGCGCCTCGTCTTGTTACGACTAGCGCTACCAACTGGTCGCCTCGATACGACTAACGTTCTCCCTCCGTTGGATAGTTTGTGTGACACCCTGGCTCGTTTTATTTAAATGAAGCTTTTTTAGTAAATAAAGCACTGGCACTCTTCACTGTCTTCCGCTGCTGCAGTCAAAGACCACGCAAGGGCCTAACAAGACAACTTAACAAAATCGAAATACCGTCTCGAAACTAGCCAAGAAAAACTTAGTTCTTCCCATCTTATGACCATCCGATTCTGTGACGAAAACCGTAGTGCCTTATATTTTGCATTTTTCCAGACTACAGAGTGCTGGAAGGTGTTATTTCGGCTGAAAACCCCCATGGAAGGTGCTATTTCGATTGAGCATAGCTCACGCTACCGGTCTCAAGAGTCAGCGGAGGCTCAAAATTAATCCGTACACGGTTAATCCCACCCTAACGAAGGACGAAACCCGACCAATTTATCCTCCGGGAGTTAACTTCGTAGCTGACCTAGAGAGGCAGTACGGTCGTAAAGTGACTTTCGTGCCAGCAGTAGTGAGGAGTAATGCGGAGAACACCTGGCGGCCACCAAACAGGATCTTCGCGGAGCATATTTAACACTCTTGCTGT